ACAATTCCGCAATATTTCTGCAGATAATAGCTCCGCAATACTTTTGCGAAGACAATTCCGCAATGCTGTTGCGAATAACAACTCCGCGATATTTCTGCGAAGTTTGCTCGCGACTCTTCCGCAAATACGATCCAGTGAAATTCGCAAACCTATCAAATTAATAATCGCAAACGCGAGCGTGAATGAAAAATAAAAAAATATGAAAATTGTGATGATAGAGATAAAGATGTTATTCAAGATTCACGCGAAAAAAATGTTACCGCGTGAGACGTCTGTCTTCGTTCGATGGAACTTGTCGCGCGCCGCGTTAGTAAACAACAGCTCGCATGTCGGACATCGCAAGGAATCAACGCTCGCTAGCATTGTCTCTATTGTGTCCAGTATTAGGAAACTCTAACTCTAAGTGAAAAATTGAAACCTGAAAATTTTCAGACGATCGTGAAATTAATTTCGCGAGCAGATTAAATAATCACGTTAGATCGCTTCGCGCAGACGCCGCACGATATCGAAATTTATTTAATAACGATCTCTGTATTTTACAAAATACAATCGCGACGCAAGCTCACGCGAGAGAGAAAACAAAAAATTAATGACCGGCGGAAGATCTATCGAAACGAGTGATGTGATTGCGTATTTTCTGTGGCGCAATCTTTGCGCGTTGGCGCACTGATCGAAACATCTGGAAGATCGCATTCAAAATTGCGTAATTTTACAAAATTTTGAATTCAGAGCGTATATTCGATACTTTAATGGCATCTGCCAGACAGTGTTAACGTTTAATTAATCAAAATTTTCCTCAACAAAAATCATTGACTAATAATCTAAGTTAGTCAAACAATTAATAAATATATATACATTAGGAGAAAAATACTTAAAAATTTGTCAAATTTATAAAAAGACATTATCATTAATATTATTGTTTGTAAAAGCGATCTTTCAATTTTTTTGAACAATGCTTTATTCGACGGCACATACACACACTACACCACAGCAAAGTAAATCGCATTAATTTATAAACATGCATTACATGGAGAGACTTTTTGTCTTTCTATTACCAGTTTCTTTTCTTGTTTAACTTACCGACCAGCCGATCAGAGTAGCCACGTTCTGCTTTCATTTCTGGAACAGAAAAATGTTTCGTCGATTAGATTCGTGCATTGATGTTAGTTTCAGTGAAGAAGTTTGCAATATTAAAAAAAAAAAATAAGCGCGCAATATTTTTCACGTTGGGAGAATATTTCAGAATACATTCACACTTAAAATATTCCACACTTTCCTTTTTCTCGACGTTTTAAATAAATCTCTTAATTAGAAAAGAATCAGCATTTTTAAAGTGGTGATACCTATTACTTAGAAAAAAATTCTCCCCGCGTGTAATTACGATTTAACGCGATCTTTGACTCAATTCAAATTATTTCGATTTTGAGAAAGAGAATTATCAATATTATTGAATTTATAATTACAAATGTTAATTAGGGAAGCTAACCTTCGAGCTAACCCCGCTTGGCCCGAGCCGGATCCTCCGGCGCAGCAGCCCATAAGAGTTGGCTGGTCGTCTGCTTCGCTTCTGCAACAAAAAGCACGTTTAATGTAGTATTACACACGACAATGGTGACATCAAGGAACTTGATTCCAAACAAAAAAATTTCCAATTTTATTGGATTTCTAATTACGAATTTAAATAAGTAAAACTCACCTTCGCGCCAACTCTGCCAGGCTCGAGCCGGATCCTCCGGCGCGGCATCCGCCAAGCATCGCATCGCTTAGAACCGTATGACTGCGTCTTCTCTATTAAATCTCTGTGACAGTAAATTTAATTTAATTTAGTATCAATTACTAATTTAATAAATTAGTATCAAATAGTTATACGCGATGGCAAGACGGTGAAAAGAAATTATTGTAACGGCACGTTCGAGTTCCTTCCCAATGCGCAATAAAAAATAATTAAACGATAGCCGAATAAAGAAGTAATAATTCTCGATTAATTAATAGGCGATGATAATAATGTCTGATCGACAACCGTATAATAATGTCCGGTAATATCAATTAATTACACACGACAGCAAGACGAGGTAAGGAAATAGTCGTAACGGCACGCTCGAGTTGCTTCCCAATACGTAATAAAAATAAATGACAACCGTAATATAAAGAAATAATAATACTCGAATAATAATACTGGAATAATAAATGGATGATGACAATATATGATCGGTATTGAGGAACTCGATCGCGACGTTTCTCTATTTAACGAGTAAAATAAAACGAAGTAATTACCAGCTGTGGTAAAGTCCATAACACTTGCTCGTGTGATAAGCACGCGTCTCAAATTGTGTTAATTATTGCTTTAATTGTGGCGTAGTCAAAACACGGTATTAAAACTCGGCGCGAAATAATTTAGAAAATAACGCGGCAGCCCGCGATACTCTCGACTCGGCGGCTGATATCGTTATGGCGTGAGGCGCGCCTGCCTGTGCGCCCCC